GGACCATCAAGGGAGAAGAGCACAAGCAGAATGCGGGACCTTATCCAGAGTAGCAGTGACACCAGAGATGGAGACAGAGATGAGGACATGGAGAGAGGGAGCAGCTGAGGACTCTAGACTCATGGAAAGAGAGGGACTGAGAGCTGGCGGCCAGGAGGCAAGCTTGCAGAATGTGCCCTTTGGTGGCTTAAATCATTATATATGTATGAGTGTTTAAAAATAAAATAAAAAAGAGCTAAAATGAATAGAGAGAAATACTGTTAACTGATGATACATGGAGAGGATTATAATCATGGTAATGAAACAAAGTATATGATGTGTTGAATGTAAAACTGATGATCTGCCCTGTAAACTCACTCAAATCACAATAAAAACTTCAAAAAAATAAATAAAATAAAAAGCCTGTGGAGCACAGTTCTGACATACATGGGTCGTCATGAGTCAGAGATGGCGGACCCCACAAGAGCTGGTCTATGTCAAGAACTTGTTGGTGCTCAGAGCCACCACAAAAGAAAGGACGAAGCACAGGTGCCGATCCTGAAGGCCTTGGATTTCCCCCAGCCTAACCATTTAGCTTTTGAGTTTCTTTCCACCAGGTGGCAGAAGGCAAACCTCCATGGATTCCAGGTTAATGGATGTAACCAAGTCTAAATTCAAGGAGGGTCGGTTCATGTGGAGTTGAAGAGTGGAGACAGGTGAGGGGCATCCAGGCCCAGAGCACCCTGTCCCCCTCTCTTGATGTGGCCAACATTTGGCCACGTACGCTGCTCAGAAGTTCCAGGACAGGGGTTGGGTGCAGCTAGTCTGGTCAATTCCAACTCCGGGTAACCTCCTGTTTACAGACAACTGTGCTCCATCAAGTTTTCTGGGTTATCATCTTTAAGGAAGTGGATAGCCCGGCCTTTCTTCTGCAGCACATTAATGGAAACAGATCGCCAGTCCTTTTTTCTGAAGCACTTCTGGATTAAGTTCCAACCATCAACCTTTAGGTTAGCTGTGATTGTCATGAATTCCTTTAACTCCCAAAGCCCCTGTGTGTGCAGAGTACAGCTGCTCTTTAAGGTTTTCAAGGAAGCATTAGGATTGGCACATTTAGGGTTTTCTTTGTGGAAGGAAGATCTGTCTCCAAAGACACGTCTGGGTGGGTTCGGACTGCTCATACCAGAGCTCCTAGGACCTCTCACAACCTTTGTGTTATTCAAGCCCCACTGAGCTCCTCCCTCCATTCTCCCCCTCCCCAGGGGCTCTAAATCTTCTCCGTGGCCCACATTGAACACAGGTAACTCTGGAGCCTGGCCCTGAGGGTGGGCAGGATTCTGAGATCTCTAGGAGGGGCCCAGGTTTCTCTCCCTGCTTCCCAGCCCCCCTCTCATTTCACCTTCTTCTAGCTTGGGGATTCCTCTCCCGTCTACTTGCTTCTGACCTTGAGTTTGTTTTGAAGATTTTTTCTACAAAAGCAAAAATCCCAAAGCTTTTGCAATGCAAATACTTTTACTTTATCCAGACCTGGAGTTTCCCAGTCCACTTTCAAAAATCAAATGCTGAGAAGGGGATCTTGTCGGCTTCCTTCCAGTCTGCTTTGATCCTGCTGGATTCAAGGGAGGTTTCGTCCCAGCTGGTCCTCCTGGGGTTAGATCAGGCGAAGACTAAAAGGAAGAAGCAGGAATGAAAACCCACCAGTTAAGGTACCAAAAGAGTCCCCTGGCTAATGCAAATGGTGAACAAGCTCACTTAGTTGTTAATGGAAAGGTTGGAGATAGGCGCTGCAGAAGAAAGGTCTGGTAATTTCCTTCCAAAAATCAGCTGTTGGACAAGCCATAGAGAACAGTTCTACTCTGACGCAGGAGGACTCACCAGGAATGGTTGTTGTTGTTAAGTGCCGTCTCGTCGAGTTGGTTCCAACTTATAGCAACACTGTATAGGGTTTCCAAGGAGCGGCTGGTGAGTTTGAACCACCAACCTTACAGTTCAAACTGAACTTGCAGCCTAGTGTTTATCCTACAATGCCACACCAGCACTCCAAAACTAAAAACAACAGTATTCCATTAACTTGTATTTCATTTTTACTGATTTCATTAAGAGACTCATGCGCCTAGCCTTGGAGACAGCAGAATCTTGGATAATAAATTGGCATGCCCCACTTCGGTTCCACAGCCACAGCCACGGAAGAGAAGAGAAGCTATGGGGGAAATGGGGAAATTAGCAGTCTCGTCTATTGTTGTTGTTGTTAGCCTATCAAATCGGCTTTGACACAAAGCGACTCTAGGTACAACAGAGCAAAACACTGCCCAGGCTTGCAGGCCTTCAGGATTGTTACATCTGAGTTTGTTGTTACTGCTACTGTCTATCTCTATGTTGTTATTGTTAAGTGCTGTCAAGTCGATTCTGACTCATAGCTAGGGTCCCTGTATAGGGTTTCTAAGGAGAGTAGCTGGTGGGTTAGAACCACCAACCTGTGGTTAGCAGTCCAATGCTTATCCTACAGCACCACATTAGAACTCCATTTCTCTACTCATATATAAAAAAGACTTCAGTTAAGGAATTCCAGATGAAAGAAAATCATTTTGCCTCTTTGACAGAGAGGGACACTTTCCTTTCTCCTCTGTACGGAAGCACAAAACCCAAGTCCTTACGTCAAGTCCTTATGTCATAACTTCTGGGGCTCCACCATCCAGGATTGATTCTTCACTCCCTGCCTCCCAGTGTGACAAAGTACAGAGCTGTGGGTTCTCTGGTCTCTGGATCCCAGGCCAGTGGACATATCCAGGTGTCCTTGGCTTGCTGTGGGGGTGGGGAGGCCTTCCTCTGAGAATTCCCACATCGCCATGTGGTTCTGAGCACAGGAGAGCTCACAGTGACTGCTGTACGGAGGTTCCCATCACAGAAGCCACTTGGATCAAGTCAAGCCACATTTGGTGATAATAAAAGCAAAGGACCCATTCTTTTTTGTGTACTTTCGAGTTGATTCCTACTCATAGCGACCCTATACAACTGCCCAAAGGGTTTTCTAGGCAGTAGTTTTTACAGCTCCTTAGGATAAGCAAATGGACTGCATACCACAAATCGATGGTTCTAACCCACCAGCTGCTTTGTGGGAGACACAGGGTCATTATGAGTCCAAATAAAATGTAGCATTTAACGACAACAACAGTCTTT